AAATTTTTTTTTCCTAGGTACTAATTTTCATATACAGCTTCATATGTAAACACTTCGAGTTCTAGAAAATTTTCTTTTGAATTAAATGCTCTGAAAATCAATTAAATAAATAAGAAAGAGTTACTTAGAAAGCCACAATTTAAATTTTTGAAATTATTATTTTACATTTCACACAAGCTCGGTAGAAAGTTTGGCTATTTCGAGTGCTATTTTTAGCCATCAAACATTTGTCACGCAAAGGCCCAGTATCTGACATTGTTTAGCGATTTTCTTGCGAAAAATGAAATATTTTCAAAAACCAATTACACAGCGATTGTTACCTAATCATACCTTATCACTATACAAAATATGAATAGATTTGATTTTTCAAGCCTTGCCAAGATATGCCTGATTTTTGGGCGAAGTGGCTCTTAAACAAAAAGTCAAATAGAAAGATATGGTAAGCGATGACAAATAAACCCATAATATTTATCTATAACAATTTTGCAAGTAACGATTTTTATTGTGTTTTCCTTCTGACGATAACGCTGTTTGCTCTCGATCAATATTTCTTATGACGGTATCTGGCGAGATACGCAGGCGGTACTTTAGACAGTACTTCTAGGCTTTAAGAAAAATATATTTAGATGGATAAAATATTCGCTTGTCTACATGCACGGCACGAAGAAGTTTGAAGTCCAGGAGGGCCATCAACGTAAATAAAAGTTTAACGCAACGAAATAAAGTTTGTCGCTAAGAAATAAAGTTTGACGYTAAGAAATAAAGTTTTTAGTTAACAAATGAAGTTTGCCGCTACTAATAAAGTTGGACGCTAGTAAATAAAATTTGTCGCTAAGAAATAAACGAAATAAACTGTGCCGCTAAGAAACAAAGTTTGCTGCTACTAAGAAATAACGTTTTTCGCTAAGAAATAAAGGCAGGCCTAGCTCGCAGAAATCCATACAAAACACAATTCAAAAATGTGTTTTTTTACAAGCGGCTTCCAGGCTTCGGTACGTAGTAGGTAGGAAACGTGTTTTACAAAATCTGTGGGGTTGCGGAAGTACCGGAAGGGTTAAAACTGGTTAAAATATATAAAATGTCGTGAATCGCTTTTTCGCTTCGCTTGAAAGTCACCTTAAATCGTATAATTTTTACTATATTTTTAGTTTACTGAATTATTGTTTTGTTTTCTTTTTGAAAAAAGAAATACTTCCCTTTGGAAGTAAACATTTTGCCTGGTTGAACATGTTTGTCTTCGGAAAGCAGCAGCATTTTATGACAGTGACACAAGTCCTGAAGCCTGTGGCATTGACGGTAAAAGTAGTTTTGGACAAGCTTCCTACTGAACGAGCATTTATCAGTGTCGTGAGATTTCTCGCTAAGGGATGTAGTGATGGTTGCCGTCTGTTTTATAAATTTTTTTCTCAATAATAACAATATATATACAGCACTTTCAAATACTGTAAACATTGAATACTGTAAATAGCGTATTCCAAGGCATTGTTGTTCGTTCTATCGCCGTTGAAAAGAGCTTACGTGGCAGCTATACCAGCTCCGTTCTGTCAAAAACTTCAAATAGAAGGCAATTAAGTTTAGAATTGTCGTCACTCTGAAACGCAGTTATTCAATGTTTTCTAGCTGTATAATGGGCTACTGATAAAATTCTTAATAAGACCCTGACTTTTGTGCAAAAAAGCCTGAGGATGCCCGTGTGGTTCAGTGATGTTGGAAATAAGTGCCGGAACATGATGAGCGCGGTGATAATGCGGCACGCTTCAAGAAAGATGGAACCGAGGGTACTTTTACTCGAGCCTTTGTGTCTTCTCACTGTTAGCCGAAATGAACTCCTGGGTCAGGTTTGAATGAAGTTGGTGTTCCGGAATTCTCTTCCTTCGTTATAATTTGATGTTTAAATCAAAACATCAAAATGGAATTAAAAATTCGTATTAAACACGAGGAAACGATATCATTCACCACAACTTAGCTGTCTAACCTGGTTACTAAATGTCAGAGCTACGGACCTCAAATGACCGACGATTTCGTGTTTCTTGTCATGAATAATGTATTYAACTATCTATTGACTTTGTATTTTTTACTTAAAGCCAAGTTCTAATAATAGTTTTTCTAACGAGATTTTGTTTTTCACATTAGAAGCCACTGGCGGTATCAATAAGAGGTATGAATAGAGCTATACGGCTAAGGRAGCGCAGARAAAACCGTGACAGATAAAACTATGAGTTTGAATTGAATGAAAGAATKTTCCTTATCCTAAGTCTTGCTCGAAAACAAGTAGTTCCCGAGYATATTCCTCCAATGTAAAATATTCTCAAACCTTGTTTGTGAGCATGGATTGATTATGGTAGGTCAACTGTAGAGAATATTCGAGGGACGAAGAAGAGGGCGTTGTCTTTATTCTTAATCTACTCCAATATTGCCTGGCAGGACAGGCATGAGAATGCTTTCCAAATATCACAAAGTAAACCTAAATACTATCGTTATCAACAAGAGTCAATACAGCAGTAACGACATTAATAAATGATGAAAACCCCGCAAAGGTTAATTTATAGGGCAATTAGTGGCTGATAGCACTTCGTAGGTCCACAAAAAATACAATGCGATTAATTTCACTTATAGTTGCTGCGAATCAATGCATATTTTCTTCTTCAACAAAATGTCAAGTTTTACCAACTTAGCAGAAACAATAAATAAAAGGTTGAAGTTGCAAGAGCGAGCGACCAAGGCTTAAGAAAATAACTTCTCTGTGCTTTTTTGCTTTTGAAAAAATTCCCTCAACGAGGTGCTGTTTTCCTGATTCACGAGGATTCTTAGCTTTATTTGATGCTACGATTAAAAATGGGTCTAAAGAACGAACAGTTGATAGCTATTTTAATGAAAAGTTGACAATGGTTGTGTACTTCTTAAGGGAAACATTGGCGAGTGAGAGCTGCTAGGCTTAATTATGGCACCTGCTCGGATTACGATGTATACATACGCAAATTGAATTAATCTCAGAGAATTGCTTTAACGCTTTATAGGAAAACATAGTAACACACAAATGGCCTTTATCGGATAAAYTACCGAAAGCATTGTTTACGATTGAAAGATACTACAGACCAATCAACACTTACCCGTTTTACATGAAAAAGATTTCCACGYTAGTGTATCAAAACAGCGCGTTCAGTTTCGAAAGTTKTTTTTTTTWWYCYWRGRAAAAAAGAGTTTGATTTWAGTRTTAATAGSAAGTGTCAGTTCTGAATTTGCATTCCGTGACTATGAATTCAAATCGTTTGTAGCATSTGCAAAGACTTACTCTTTTTCCCTGTTAACACAACGAGCTTAACGTAGTTCTGAAGGCAATCAGTGAAATGGATAAATAWTTTATCGTTTCAACTAACAGCAGCATTACGATAGACCAATTACATATTATAAAGAACAATAACCTCATTAACCACTATGAAACACTAACAAGTSACCTATTGCAAAAACTCCATCTGACCTTTCTAGTAAATTCTGTAACTAAAAAGAATTTACAATAGAATTAAATTAGATGAGAAGTTCAGAAGTCTGAAGAATCAGTAAGAAAGAAAAAAATATACAAAACTGAAATACAACACGAATATTAGAATCGAGAATTTTTTAAAAGAAAAAGTTAACCCCGCCTTAGCCTTTTTTTAGATCTATTAAATTGCAGAAGTGTACCTTTACATCAAGTTATATTAATACATTATCACAAAAACAGCAGGATAACAGAAGGTATATTCTATTTTTAAATGGAAAGAATTTTACAAGTATAGTATCAATGTTGTTTTGAAAACTAAATGGAATTAGAAAAGATCAGAATATATAAGGAAAATATGTCAAAACGTTTATGATAGATTCTCGTGGCTAACATTTGCCAGACTTWTATTATATAGCAAGTTCAAAACGCAAACAGCGAATGTTTAAAAGGAGACCGTACATCGGCCGTATGTACCGAAAGCAAATTTGCAAATACAATTTGTTTATCTCTGCTTACATTAAAATGTCTGATTTTCCAAATTATTAATGCAATTTGATTTCAACTTCAGTGCTTAAATCGTTRTATTTCCTTGATTTTCGTTTCAGGGTCAAAACGTACCATATGATTGCAAAAATCTTATCAAACTAAATTTGTTATTTTCACAAGTCACTTTCGAGGTTTCTCTATATATTGAAAGTAAAAAGAGTTATTTTACGACAATTTTCATACATAATTATTTAATAAACAAAATATTACATGGTCGCTTCGAGATACGAATTCTATTTTCTCGTGTTGGAAATCTCTTCATTAAACTCGAAGATAAAATCCGTATCTCCGCGCGCCAATGCAATATCCTTTATTTTCTTGCGTATCATACAGACAAGCATAGGTTTATTTCAAAAGCTAAAAGCTTGCTTTTGCCAATAAAACAAAGTCCAAAAAATTTTTTTGAACCAAGCCCTCAAGCTTTCCAATGTCTTTTTAGTTGACAAGAATTCAACGAGATAACAAGTCTCAGTGGGAATTATGATGGTTTCTACTTATGCAACACCTAGTATTACAAAGAAGGGAAAAGACGGTATCAGAACTTTCCAGAGAAATTCAAAATTATATTACCTTATGTTAAACCTTCTCCCTATGGGTTCTTGCTCACTAGCAGTACCGACCCTTTTTTGTTTTACTCGAGCCTGTTCCTACAGGGAAAATACTCAGTAAGAATTAGTCAAGTCTCAAATCTCCTCTTGGAGATCTCCTCATCCACTCACAGAGCAAAAAATGGAGATAAAAATGGTACAGCGCCAAGTAAATACTATGATTAAAAGAATTCCGAGACTGACAATACGTCACGAAGAATAGCGCCAATTAAAATATCATTAATTTATTAATACTAAACGCGTTTTATACTCTATGCATTTGTTCGAGCGTATACAACGTAATTCGTATATAACATCAATCCCAAAAAAAGGTTGCTTAGTTGAACACAGAAATGTCATTTACATACATTGTTTCTTAAAACTTTTCAAAAGAATATGTGATATCATTCTTCCGAAGATTTATTCAACATTACAGGTACAAATATTTACTTTGCGAGTTCAATTTCCTTTGTCAATTTCCGTCCAAATTCAATGAATATTGATGAGGTGAACTGTTTTACTAGTCTCTTTCTCTTCCCTCACCGCCGTCTCAATTCGGTAACTCTTTGTAACTTTTGTCGTCGCTCGTCAGTTAACAGCGAGAGAAACTTGAGGCAAGTCTACCAAGATACAGAYTTGAGTCCCAGAAACAGGAATCTTCCGGCACTACATAGATTGACCGAGCCTTCCTGTATTCTCATCAGAATCGACTGTGGAAAACTGCTAGAAGGAACTAACCACTTWGAAAACCATTTAGAAAAACATATGGATAAGATCACAGTCAGTGTCTTAGGTCTCGGTTAGCAATAACAGAATATGTACGCTTGGTGGGGGATATTTTTCACTTTCTTAAAAAAAACAACTCACTTTACATGAACTAATTACTATATACATAATGTCTCTAAAAATAATTGAATGAGCAGCCGATACCTGACCTACCAACAAACACAAACAATAATGACCAGAGAGAGAAAGAAAGAGAGAAAARGATGAGGGAAACAACTTGACTGTATTCTGTAARTCCGAACCTATCGTTCTATCGTTGGACTGGTTCGCTTTGATAATATGTCMACAGTCCACAGTTCTTGCACATCCAAACATTTACACGCATAATGCTGTCCATTACTAGTGCYTTGTTATTAAGTTTTATAAAAGTCGTTAAAATTCAAACGTAGAAGGAAGTCTTGTAAGTGAGCCTGATAGCCACGTCGAACAAGCTTACTGAGAACTATAATAAACAATGAATTCAAGKATTAGTTTTGTATGATAGATTTATGTGAATCAGGTTTCTTTTACTGTGAATCAGTATTCAACGGACCAAACAACGGGAGAATCACCTGTAAACAAGAAGCCCGAATATTCCTTAAAAGCCTTATGAGTTGCACACATGACGTCAAAACGAGGATGTACCACGTGACTGCATTCACCATTCTGCTGCCATGGACACGAAAGCAGCTGAGTACGAAACTTAAGGACGAGACTGAACATGTCGCTGATGATTTTCATGACAGGGGTAGCTTTCTTGCTAAGCAGAGACCTGAAAACAGCTTTGTTGAGGTATTCTGTATGGCGATGATGCAATTCATCGAGGTCTCGAGCCTAATAATGCATTMAATAAACTAAGTTAGTTACATTTTATTTGATGTACATTCCTTATTGTTTGTTATTTATACTGAATCTGGGAAAAAGAATTCCATTTAATCATACGGTACAACTTTTACAAGTTCTTGGAGACGATATAAGAATAGAGAAGCAAAACAGAAAAATTAATGAGAGGAAAGCTGTGAGGGAAGAAGGGGAAAAAATATTAAAGAAAGAAGGCCAGAAGAAGAAATAGAAGCAGGAGTACCAACACTAACGTTTGTAACAAGTTCCTGTTGAAACTCGACCCAGGTGACGTTCAGTATTTGATTGGATAGGTAGCCATCGATGTTTTGTAGAAAGTGCAACATTTCATGTCTAAAGAAAGAAAAAAAAGTCTGCATGCATACGAATAAAGAGCAAATGACTGCCTAAGAAAACACCTGGTAAATATAAACTATCCTTCAATCCAAAGGAATTCATTTTTCAATGGTATTCTTAAAATAATCATTAAGKGCGATTCTCCAACTTGTTTCTATAATAAATGTGTATCTAGGGRTTAAATCCACATCAATTATTAATACGAGCTTGGAAGCATCAATCCAGGTAATAACATTACTTTTAAGTAAAATCCTTAAGGCTTACAAAGCTTAAAATGTATTTCCCAGTTTAGCATTCGATTACACGTTCTAAGCGTGATTTTTTTCAATCATATTTTATACCTAAATAACTGGAGTTGTCGAAGCTGTGGTGATCCTGCAGCACGACGCGAGAAACCTTTAAATAAATTATATAGAAAATTACAGAAATTGTTACACAAAAAAAAACCCCAAACACACAAAAAAACGAAAAAAACACAAAAAAATCATCATCATAACGGTGAATTTGTCCTCTACTCTTACAGTGATTTTATAATATAAAAAAAGTATCAGGCAAAGTTATTAATGAAAAGTAAACAAGTGCATTGGTAACAAACACAGGAGAATTGTGCCTGTCACGCAAATATCGACTGTTGCGTGACTATGTTACTTACCAATGTGCTTTAGATGAAACCAAATTTCTTGAAGAACCCAGGCGACTCGTTTCAACCTCAGCATAAACGAAAAAACCTATCACATCAATACCACAAGTCGTAAATWTGGTAATAATACATATCTATTGAAAGGATACTTAATAATTTKTACTATTTATAACAATTGCAAGGGTTGCTAGGAATATATACACTGTCRAACGATACTATCATCAACCAGAGTTAGTAATTCTGCTCAAAGCAGCCATCATCATAGTGCTTATGAAAGTTTTGACTTTGAAAAATTTCAAAATTTCACGAAATTTTTCAATCTCAAAACTTTTCGGGCGTGCTTTCGCAACAAATGAAATTAAAAAATAACAAAATTGCAGAAAGTGATTTCTCTTCAGATGAACGCTTCTTGATTTATTTATCAGAATGAGTCCTTTCAGATTTTTTTCTTTTTTTCTTTAACATTTGTCTTAATTCTATTTCTACATTTTTTGATAAAAAGGAGGGAATAGCCAACCTAATAACCACGCTTGATCCCCTTTTGTTTCACAAATCTCAATCAATAATGTTTAGAAGTCTCTGTTGCATTCAGCCCTAGTGTCCATATAATCGTCCGAATAGCTCCAAAACGTATTTTTGCATTGTTTTAGGTTTTTCAAGGGAATTAACAATGGCTTTGTGGCGATTGGGACGATTACATGTACACTAGGAACAATATATTGTACTACTAAATAGTATTAATTATACAATAGGAAACACAAGAATCACCATACTTTTACCTTGTTATACTTGATGATTGAATTCTCTGTTATTATAATRTTCACTGGCCAAGGGACCTTAAATCAAAATGTTATCGTTCAACATTCTTGGCTTGCAAGTTACGTCATCACCGCCATGTTSGATGAAGATCACAAAGCATTCCTCATAAGTTTCTCCTGTTCATTCATCCAACATGGCTACTAAAGCTTTTTTCTTTATTTCTCAGGGATTTTCTGGTCATTTGGTTGCACACCAAGACAGATCCGTAGGCTGGGGRCTTCGGACGAGCTTCCCCACAAGCTAAAATGTCCAGTATTTCTCTTTTTTTATTGTTCATACACACTATACCTGTGCATTGAACTAGTTTAGTTAAACTTTTAATTTAGGTCCGCATTCTCAAAACGGGCCTGCAAGAATAGCAATGAAACGAAAAGGGGGAAAAGCAAAGTAACAAAAAAGGAAACAATATATACAAAATCGTACCTGATATCGAAGCTCCAGGAAGTCGAGCGTTCCTATATCTACACAGAACAAAAAGAAGGTACTGTTTGAGAGYAAATAAAAGAAAACAACAAGACAAAAACGTACCAAAAAATTCTATACAGAAAACACAAATGAAACCCAAGTCAATCTGATAACATTCTAGAGTGAATGAAGTGATATATTTAAGTAACTGTTGAAGTCGCTAAAATGCAGGAAGAAGTTAATGGAGGACAATTTTTTMAATCACGATCCATGCTTGTAATTAAATAAGTTTGCCTATACTTCAATCTTCTTAGTTTTTTGTAATGTCAGTAAGCCCTTTGCCCATCACTTGACATACCATTCATATTAAAGACGTCTGGCAATGATTTCAAAGCAAACGATAGTCGCTGTTCAAAACCTGTTTTATTTGCATAGACCGAGAGYTGTAGAGCCCTGGTAACGATGGCATTCATTGTGGCAGGAGAGCACATTTCTCCAGGATTTACTCCAGTAGAAAGCTGAAAAAAAAAATGTTACCGACAATTAATTTGTTGACACTTGTTCAAGTCTTCATCACTTGCAGATTGGATCAATGCAATTCTGTTCTCTTTGGCCTCCCTAAACGTCTAATTGATAATCTTCAAACTGTTCATAATAATTCTGCACGTCTTATAACCCGTACACGAAAACACGACCATATCACTCCTGTTCTAACTGATCTTCACTGGCTTCCTGCTGCTTATCGTATAAAGTAAAATAAAATAATCCCATTAAAAGCACTCCATGGTCTGTCTCCCAGTTATATTGAAGAATTAAACTCTGCTCATCAGTCTACTCGCAACTTTCACACTTCTAAACATCTGTCGCTGTCTTCCAAGTCTTGCGACCTGAAAACCTATGGCCTACGCYCCTTCTCCGTTGCTAAATCTCTTCTTTGGAACACTCTACCTACTTCCATTACAGATGTTCACGACCTAACTGCTTTTAAATCTAATCTCAAAACTTATTTATTCAAACTAGCCTTTTCTCTTTAATTATTATTTTTACTATTGTGATTGTTTTTGTTAATAAGAGCTATATAACATCATTATTATATTATTATTCTTATGATTCTTATAATCATCATTATTATCATTATAATTAATATTACACAACAACAACAGCGACAACAAAAACTCCACCTGACATCCTCTACAATACATCGAATGCAGTGCTATTCTCCGGTAGGCTGCGTCAATAAAAGATATTACTTCATATAGCGTTAAAAAAGAGAGAAAGACTAACCAAATAGCCTTGTTTGAGGAAGAGACTTATATATTTCCTTTTGCTTGGACGATTGTTTTCCTATATCATATAGTTTTCTATAATCTAAAAGAAGAGAACGCTGATCCCTGTTCAGCAAAAATTATTTATCACCTTTTCGAARAGTTGTTCAGAAAGCGACAAGGCAAATTCACCATCTTCCATGAACAAAAACTTCCTGAATATTTCAAAGTGATGCATCAACTTTAAGTCATCCATGAAGTACTCCACAACCGCTGAATTGACCAAAGATATCCTGAAAAAAATAGTTACAGTTACTATCGCTCGGAAATCATGAAAGCAGTCTTCAATTGAATCCAATGTGCCATATCTACACCTGCTGATGTAGTCATACATGCTGACTTCTCAAACATTCATGAGCTGAACGCCAAGAGACACAACGAGTCTGGACCATTAAATTAGTTTATCATGTGGCAATTCACGTGTTAGTTTACCCTTTTCAAGCCACGTGACCAAAATTTAAAAACGCGACGATTATACATAAATATTCCTGGGGAAAACGTTATTCCCGTACTGTAACACGGAAATCAAAATCTATTTTTTCTATCCTTTCAAATGACCAAAGAGTGGCCGTAAATAGTTAAATGAAGTATACTTACTGTGCCACCAATGGCGCTGTGACAGAACGACGCAATAAAACTGGCAATGACATCAACTGAGCAGCATCAATGTCATCATCATTATCAAGATCATCTGCATACAAAATGTACACTGATTAAGAGACTGAACACTTAGCTTGGTCACAGAAACATACCTTCAATTACCATTCGCCTATCGCTCTTTGCGACGACAATGTTTGATATTAAAATGTAAGTGTGTAGAGTGCACAGGTGTAATAGTAAATGTGTGGAAACAATGGAATTAAACATTCCTGCAGTGTATTAATTTGTGTATTTATATTTCATTCATTCTGTCACACAAAGTCTCATTCATACCTAAACTTTTCAACGATTTTTACCTTCACACATTGGTATTGCACTAAGAGCACTTTTCAGAAGATTGTTTGTTGGATGCTTATCTAAAAAGAACACCATATAATTTATCATAGTCAGGAAGAATTAATATAATTACTAAAAGAGGACAACCACCACTTCCAAATGTTAAAAAAACATGAGAATACCAACCTAAAATATCAAAGTTCACTTGAAGTGGCTGAACCTCGGAAGCTATCCACACGTCTTCAAATAACAAAGGTTTGGTTGGTTCTGGAGCAGTTTCTAAGAGATTTTTTAGAAGATTAGTACCGCTCATATCGGAATAGAATTCCAGTAAAAACATTGCGGAATGACTGAAATGAATCAAGAACAAAAACGATGGTTAAAACAGCAGTTATCATGGTTATCAATTTATAACGGTTTGCATTACAACATTTACCTGTTTTCTGTTCGACTGGGTACATAAGTTTAGTAATCTTTACAGCAGGTTCATGACCACGGGATGTGTGCCTCTGTTCGTCTTGGCTAACAAGTCCATCTTCTGGATATAAAACGTCTTTTATGGAATCAACTGGGGGAGTTCCTCTTGTAGTCAATGGATGAATAGCACTCGAATGGTTCGGACTAAAGTATTTCAAAGGTTGTTTTGCCTCAGACACAGATGACACGTTCATAAGAAGGTTTTGTACTTTACTATCTGAAGGATGTCCCCACAGACGTCTTGTGGACGCATTTTGTGGTGTTGAGTCAGTAGAATCCAATCGAGTATCAGAGGGATGACCATATGGAGACCTATGTTTGCCTGGTGTCTGTTCCAAAGCTGTCCGTTCTTGTGAATGTGTCCCGGCTGAATCTAATTGGGTGTCTGAGGGATGACCAAATGGAGACCTGCGTCCACTGGGTATCGGAACACTGAGACCAAACCTTGACAAATAGTCTCCAGCTGAATTAAACTGTGTATCTGACGGATGACCATACTCAGAAAGTCTACCAGAAAGTRTAGTTTGATCTGTCGACTCTACTGGATGATCCAAACTGTAGCTAGGTCGATGTGTAGGAGAACTGAGGCCATTTACACCTGTAGACAGGCTACGCACAAAATCCCTTATAACTGGATCATCATTAGATTGGTCTGATTTCAAAGATCCTTGAATAGCTGAATTATCTTTATCATCGCTTTCAGTATTGCGGTTATGTGAAGCACCAGTTAAAGTTCTGTTAGAATCATCTTGTGACATTGCACTACCAGATGGATACATGATATTTTGTATACTTGAGTTACTTGGRTTTGGAGTATTTGTTTGSATTRACGGTGGCACAACTGGAGACGTTRCAATGTCATCGTGAACATTTTTATCTACCGAATATAAAGAAAACTGAATGGAAGATTCCGAAGGATGACCAYGCGGGAAAGGAGATTCTGCTAAGTTGATGTTATCATCAGCTGAATCCCACATCCGTCTTTTSGATCTATATTCTGTTTTGACATCAARAGGCTTCACATCCTCAGAACTAGACCATTTTTTGCGACTTRCTGGAGCTGCTGATAYAGTTGATGCTATTGAAGTATCAGTATCATCTGCTTCATCTAAAGATGCAAATGAATTAAGGGTTTGGCCTTCAGAGACGTCCCCYTCGGCAACTGWCTTGTCTGTTTCTACACCCGAATCAGSTGCACTTGAAATAGTCGTGGATTTATTCACTTCTGATTGGATCATTGCATCTGTTTTTATTCCACTGGCAATAAGTGATACAATGCTTAGGSTAGGCGATTGCACAGATGTCCTTTCAGAGGATTGGGTAACACTGGCTGCACGAACTGTTGTAAGTCTTSTAGAGCTAACGTTTTCAACTGGTTTAATGGGATTTTTAGCAGCSTCTTCCTGAAGATTTTCTAGATTAACCTGCTCTTGTGCAAAGAACTCTAATCTTCTTTTATTGAGTTCATGCCGCTTGATTTTCCACTGAGCACGTTCTTCTCTTCGATCCATTTCTTCTGTTAGAAGTTTATAGTAGTCAATCAGCTCTTGCCTGTGGAAAATAAAATTTAAAATTGTAGTATATGATTAATACATAAAATTTGTCTATCAATAAGGTGTAATAAAATGATGTGATAACCAGAGTAATACCATGATCACCTCGGGATTTCACTGTGTTTGGAGAGACGTTTAACGGCTAACATCCCTCCCTCATGTTATTTAAAGTTTAGCTTCGAATTATCCCTCATCGATTCTAAGTTTTGTGTTTTTACATTTAATGCCTTGTCCGTGACATATAAATACGTTGACCAGAAAGGAATGGTTGAGTTAAGCTTCAATCTTAAGATAGTCGATATTCTTAACATTTCTCATTTCTTCTTTTTCTCCTATGTATTATTTCCCTATGTCTTTAATGCTCGGCGAGATGATAAAACAAACTGCGTCGCGGCTGCTTTACACTAGAAATACAACACTTCCCACTTACATGTATAAGAATCCATTTTTTCAAGAAGAAAAGCCTCAGTATGATAATAATCTGCCTTTTGTCATTAACATGCTTGGACTAAACCTTTTAAGATTGCAGATAGCAAGAATATGATATGATAGAAATGCCTCAAAATATAATGTAGGAAAAAGTAGACTTCTTAAGGCATACTAAATTTTTTCAAATTTAGCCTAAACAGGTTCTTATGTAAATGGTGCTTAGTGGAAATTTATGCTATGCAGGTTCTTAAATAGGTTCTTCTTTAATGGGGAACTCTTTAATATGCGACCATTCCCCTTTTTTATTAGTCGGTTCAAACATTATTTATACCAAATTTAGAAGTGTAAGTTCAAGTTCACTACATTTGAGTCATGTTTTTCTTTGCATGAAGATAATTTTTAGGAACTTATTTAGGTGAAGAACCTTTCTATAAGAACCTGTTTCAACTTTTAGGCTAAATACTAGGTTATTATGTGAATGGGCTCTAAATTGATATTTTTTAGGCTAACAGGTTCTTAAATTGCAGGTTCTTATAAGCGGTTAAGTACTGCATTTAGTACTACTCTGACTGATCTTTACGTATTGTTTAAAGTGTTTACATCTTGTTAAAGGTTCTCTTGGAATATCGTCRGCAACATTTAGGATTAATTTGGTTTTGGAAACTTTGTTGTCCATCTCTTCCATAAAACACTGGAACCAAACCCGTRAATACACATGTTTATATTTCTGTAATTTCTATCAGTCTATTTCTTGAACTATATAAGCACAAACGAGAGTTTAGTTGCCGATGASAGATATTTTGACAATACAGCTTCAAGAGAGAGATTTGATAATAACGACCTTTTATGCTAATGCGGTTAAAAATATATATATGAGTGTTGTCAAAGCAAAAAGGCCCTAAAGAACACGCCCGCSACCAGTGGTGCCTAGCGTAGAGACTCGAGAGCAAAAGGGACCTTAACAGCTTAAGTACCTTTTACAATAACTTCGCTCATATGTAAATAACATTGAGCAGATGAGTGAATATTTACCTTGCCTTTTCTCTCAGCTCCTCATCCGCTGCAGCTCGATTGAGTGCRTCAACCATATATTGGTTGTCTAACTCATCTTCAAGCTGTTTATCGAGTTGTCTTTTCTATAGAAAACATTGATTGGAATAGTCAAAATGGTGGGAACTAGCAATAAACTGTGTGAGCTGCGTCAAAGAAACAGTTGTGTAAAAAGATAAATTTATCACCGTAAAAAAGTAGGTGAAATAACTTTTAGTAAATTTATCTTTTTACACAGCTGATTGATTGAAATAGTGCAATGATTGTAGTATCACAATCAGTTGTCGGTTGACCAATCACAGTGCATAAAACCAATTTTCAATTATATATAMCAAAAGCATATGTTAACCTTCTGTGGCTGTATTTCGAAAATCCGGCCAATACACTCAATCATAAAAGATATAACTCTGAGTAAATAACATGAAATGATAAAGTARCATCAATGTAGCAATTACTTACAGTACCTATACTCCCCTTGCATGCTTCAACAATACAATACACTAAATTTTGTGTTACCATCCWAGTCAAATATCATGTTCACGGTACTATACCTTATGCTGACCATTGTTATATAATTATCTTTTTAATTTAACAAACCTTGATGGCTTCCTCCATCTGTTCTTTCAACATTTTCAGGTCTGCTTTCTTCTTTGCATCAATAGCTTCTTTAACGTCATTGATAAGACCTATCAATTCAAAAGAAATATTCAAAACATTAAAACTGCTTTYGATCTGAATATCAAAACAATCTTCAAAAAATTCATGGAGGAAAATTCCTTGCATTTAGTTTTAAAATTTCTGTCTGAGTACTTTACTATGATATCTATACTTATCTATACTTTTCTATCTTCTTTATCTATAAGTTTTTACTTTTAGTGCGGATACGTTAAGACATAGTTTCCTTTCTTTTCCATTTTTACATGCCTTTCTTTGTTTATACAAATGTATTCTTTTGTYAAATGAATTTTATATTTGGAGCAATACCTGTTACTTCTGCAAGAGCTTTCTCTGCACGCTGTCTTTCTTCCATTAAAACTTTTTCCTTGGCCTGTTCCAATGCGATTCTCTGAAATGTGCAATGTTCATTACAGCTCATCAACTAACTACATAGTTGTACGCTTTTCTCTTTATACAGTCAATTGCAAAAAGGTTGTGGATTGAGATATTATACACATAGATAATGATTTTCATAAAATACCTAATGACATGCAGAGATTCTAAGGCTTCATCAGGATCTACATTTGTGACAAAGTACTACCAAGACAATAAATGTAAAACYTACTCAGGAAGCATACTATTGAGGTGTTTGGGTTCCATTAAAATTTTATTTACACACATTTCTGCATTTCGTTAGGGTAATTATGAATCTCATAATATATGTGTATAATTATGTACATATCTCTTTAAGAACCTCAATCCACAACCTTTATGCAAGTGACTGTATATTAATTATACAGACAAAAACAATGCAAAATGTTTTAGTCATTGCTTTTAGTCATTATAGCTTCTGTTGCTGCYGTGGAAAATGTTTTCCATAAAACATATATAAATGTGCAATCATCAGTTGTCTTTCATTGTTCAACAATGCTGTTGTTGTTGTTGTTGTTGATTCTGTTGTTAATATTGTTTTGTACAGCTTTAATGTTGTTGTTGTTTATATTGCTGTTGGTTCTCTCTTTTCTCCTAAATATTCTTGTTGTTGTCAATAGTGCTTTGTTACTTTTTAWTAATGTTGTTACTTCTATTTTTTAATGATGTAAGATTATAACCTGTTGTTCTTTCTTCTGTTTGAGGGTATTACTTATATCTTCTATGGCATACACATAGTCCTCACAATTCTGGTCAATGGCCTTCAACTTGCTCATAGAAAATGTTACTTCCATCTTGGGCGGAGGGACTCCAGAGTCACATAAGAAATGCTGGTRGATACAAGAMAACACTACTTGAGTACTATTATGGGAAAATTATGGGATAACATCACTGATATTTTTTTGAAGTTGCCTAGCAGTAGTACTTTCAGAGGAAAATATTGGCAATGATATCCCATGATTTCTGATACATTTTATGTAATAATACTTGTAATATGATTAAAAATGATCATAATTTCTGTATATTGCTAATAGTAAATACAGCTATTTGCAATAATTCTGACCAACTTACACTAATATTCATATTATCAAACTTAACCTTAATATTATGGATATCATGACTGATACATTTCTTGAGTTGTCCAGAATGAGTACTTTAAAACAAAACAGCAATTGTATCCCATAATTACTAAGGCTACTATATGCCTTTGGATAATAGCATTAGGAGGGTCAGAATTACAAACATTATAATAATATGAAATTATCTTTAATTGAGAGGGCTGGCTGGGCTGTACAATCAGTAAACCATGATTCAAACCACTTTTTGGTTGTTTCAACAACACTACACATTTGAGTCATAACAACAACCCATACAGAATGAAATAAATGAGGAAGCTCTTAATTTCTGTAATTATCATTTACACAATGAAGGATGGGTTGCAACTTGGTTCATTAATGAAATTAAGGATTAAAAAAAACCCTTAATACTACAACTTAAATGAGTAAATCATCTATATTAATTGTGCTAGTTTAATCCATAGGTATTTTAATGCTGATAGTAATTCTAAAATAAATAATTTGAGCAAATTTAGAATTAAAAATAAACCTACCCTAGGGCTACATAGTTTCATCAGGTTAATTGATTTWCCACATACAAAGATGTCATTGGCCAATTCACTAAGAAACATTGGTACACAGTCTAGTTTGTCTTTCTCCGAAATCACAAATCCATGGCTCCAAAAGTGTTTATCTATGAGCAAAAAAATAATAATATAAACAATCAAATATTTAATCAATCAAGATTTGTTCCAACTTTGCTGACCTCATTTCAAATTTTATGAACTGTACCCCATTTAAATTATACTGCTTGCATGCAATATAGGCTTTGTGCAGCCGAACCAAAAATGTTAATTGTTTTGTCATATGAGCAATGGCTAATAATAACCTCTGTATGCTAAAAATTGATCATCAACTTCAATGATAAATTCTTCATACACATCTCGGCATATTCCCTGGAATACCCACTGCTGAACAAATCTGTCAACAAATAAGAAACAACATTAAATGATAAAAGGATTGCAGGATATACTGGTGAAAAGAAAATTCATGAAAAATTCAATGAATGGTTGATGAAAGAGATGATGATAATAAAGGCAGACATTAACTTTATAGTCCGAGAATAACACCTAATTACAAAAACGTTGTCCTGGGATTTAGGGATTTAGGAAATTAGGAATACACTAAAAGACAAAAAGAACCAGAACACTTTCTTTTGTCTTTTAATTAATTCCTAAATCAGTAAAAGGTCTTTTTCTTGGACAATGTTTGTGTAATTAGGTGTATGTAGTTTAACACTCAAGAATAGACAAAGCCAGAATTAATATCATGCTAAAAGATGCACTGTAATCAAATGATAGAGTTACAATTATACTCACAAGATGTAGGGGGCACAGCTATGTTTGAGTAGAGATAGTAAAACAGGATACTGATCAGTACTTGAGTGTTCCAAGCACAACTTGTATAAGTATGATAACAGTTTTACTCCCTACAAAAAAACCTCTCTCTTTAAGACTGTCTAGTACACAGCAACAAGCAGCTGTTGAACACTCAGCTGAACAGATGACAATTTCCAGAATATAAAATGGAGGATATTCAAAACAGTCATGTCATAACCAATCAATAGTAAGGGAAAGAAATGACAAGGAAAGAGAAACCTTAGTTTGCAGATATTCTCTACACCACAATAATCACACAAAGATACACTAAAAGTACTTTTGCAATTTACAATTTTATTACTAGAATTACCAACTGTTAGTTAAATCTGTYGACTTACTGTTGGGAAAGAAGATTGTCTGGTATTGCCTTTTGGCCTCGACTGACTAGAGCACATGCATACATCAGATAAAAACCTTAAAAGAATGATACAATCATTATGAATCATAACAATAAAGATAATTATGTTAATGTTTCCTTTTCTAGGCCTTGACAAGAATATATCAACTTCGTTACAAATACACAACACTAACCTTAACTGTCTTCCAATGTTCTGAAATATGAAACTAAGCTGTAATGGACTTTGCATTGAAGCATCTGGAAGAGTTAAGTGCAYACACTGTATCAAAACTATCACTAAAGAAAAACAACAAAAAACAAACAAATGGTCTTTGTTGTGTGACCTGAATGYGTAAGGTGGGTTCTCCTCTATCAGTGAAGAATTGCCTGATGTATGTGTTACTATAATAATATGATACTTGATATGCTTTTACCATGAAAATCAAGTACAACTGATCTGTAGCAATGTAGGTAGTTCCTGAGACCACCAAGGAATGCATGTAGAACTAGTCCACCTGTTTGTTCTTTATGGTTGATAAAGTTCACTAGGTTTTGATAATTGGTTCCAATGGATGCTAGCTTAGACAAAGTGGCATTTAATGACTCAGGAGAGCAACCACTTAATCTGACATMAGTATTAACATWAAAGCCAGGAACATCCTGTCAAACAAAAAGTCCAATATCAGTCTTGTTCTTTTTGGTTTCAATAATAACAACAACAGTCAATTGAATTAGAAGCAAGGATGCTTATTAAAAAACAAATTAAAAAGCTGTATACCATTGTTAGAAGTTAATATATACAACACTATGGAATGCCCCAGACAAATGAATTATCTACCCTCTTTTATCCAACCTACAATTGTAGCTAATGTGTGATTTGACCAGGGATGATCATGTCAAACAACAACAGAAATACTTTTTAACAGTTGCTCTAAATTGCATACCATATTATATAGAAATGTAGTTGTTGGAACACCAATCAATACATCTAGGGAATGTCTATTTAATATCTTGACTTTTGTCATCGTGTAGTGGGTTGGTGTCTTTGTTAAGTAAGACACTTGTTTATATATTAGGTTGTACAACTCATCAAACACTTCTGGACCTGCTTCAGAGATGTATGGAYGGTCAAGTAACCCATCTCTCCTAAAACAATAAATTATATCATGTAGAACTTTCCAATGATTATAATCAAATAGATCTAGGGTCACAATATTTGTGTATTGTGTTTCATTACAAAAGTCCTAATTATCAAACCTCATTTTAAATTGCTTTTAATTGTTTCCTTTCCATCTCTTTCTTGTTACATTTACAGATTCAATTCAGTCCGTAAATTTACCCTCAACTTTATTTTGAGTTCTCTCATTAATAAGTACACTTTAATTATCCTAAGTTACCATCATGTAATATTGTATTTCACACGTTGTACACTAAAAATTTGCGAGAATTTACCTTCCCTCCATTTCCCAGGTGTAAAACTTTTGTGTTGGTAATTTTAAAGCTTCTGTCCAGATATCTAATCCACTCTCCAAAGAACTTTCAAAGCTTTCTGGGTTTGTTTGAGTAGATGTGTATGTGGCAGTGCTGTCAGTCAACTCATGAAATCCTTCATCATCAGGTGATGACTACAACAAAGAGTCAAGAAAAAACAACAAATAAGCAAAAACATAAAAACAAAATCAAACAAACCCAAAATCCCGAAACAAAGCAAAGCAAAACAGAAAATATCTATAATATACTAGACTGTTATAATAGATTGAATGAATTCTTATCATTCATTTTGCAAATTTTCATTTTTTAGAGTTTTTTTGCAATTTTATATTATGTAATGTGTGTAACTCGAGTCTTTCGCTAAAATAAAACAGGCCATTCAAAACTTATTTTTGATGAGATAAATTGGTCGTGGCAAGTGGAAAAATTCTGGGGCAGATCCAACATGCCTCTGAGGGAGATTAGGGATTAAATGTCCCCGAACCCAAGGGCAGGTAACTTGAATGTCCAAGTGTTTTTTTTTTGCATGCTCAAAATATTTTTAATCAGAAGCAATGTAAACAATATAAACATTGCAACAAACAGTTTGTGCATTTATTGGAATGTAACTTGAAAAGTATAAAAAATAGCAATCTACAGGAATGGACTTTTATTATTCGTTTGTGCAAACAAACAAAGATTGGCAGTTTTTTTCCAGGATAACATTCAAGCAGATTAGTGTTATGCAAAATTAAAACAATTTTTTATCATGCTTTCTTGTTTTTCAGCTAAGACACTTTTTAAGTACACATTCCTGAAATATTTCTAGGCAGGTCATGGCTATTCGAGTCGCACTGTAATACATAAAATTACCTGTGCTGTTGATAATGATGAAACACCAAATGTTCTAAATCATTAAAAGAGAAGCATTTTAGCATATAGCATATTACAAATTGCTTAAATCCTCAATTTATTACAAAATAATAATGAATTGAGTAAAGCCTTGAAATTCCTGGAGTTCCATTGTAGACTGCTTTGAACTTTTCCCAGAGTAAAGCATTATTGAATGATATTTCAAATTAATTGAAACTAACACTCAAGGCAGTCCTTTGCCTTGAAATCAAGTTATGACATGCAATAATACCCTGCAGATTCATTAATTGTTTMAAAGATAMATGTATCTATCATTGCACACTCTATATCAATGGCAATTGCTGAAAGACATCCGGAAGTGTACATGTCATACATTAACATAATATTGTTATCATTATTTTCTTCTCCCTGTTCTTATAATATGATAAAGTTTTTGACTTACTTCTCTGTTACTTGAGGTAGGTCAGGGAGTCCTAACTTAACTTGCATGTCATCTGTATAACCATGACTTAATGCCCCGAACACTGTCAGTCTTGTTTTCTTGTCATGCAAAACTTCACCAGTCTCCTATAGATTAGGAATTCTAGTTTGGYTTAAGATAGCTAATRAATGCAGGTCACTCCACACTACTAAAGTCACGCCATGAGTTTCTCTTCTGAGGTTATGGATAGGCTAATGGYAAGTTTGTCTAAGTTAAAGTTTGATGAAAGTTTACTGGCCAAATTTATAAAAGACTGTCCAGTAGTAACATGTTAATCAGACAATTGGTTCATACCTTTCTTTCTGTACCGATACAACATTAACATGATACCATCTACCATTTATTAATCTTTTGTTTGTTTTCAAAAGCTAAAGTATCAAATAATATTAGAGCTCCCTGTACACACTTGGATATTACTCTTAAGTGAATATACTTGTAATGGTATCTAACTTATAAGTGTCTGTGATATCTCATGATATTTATATCATAATAGTATCATTGGGAGTTTTTACTATCAGAGATTAAATGATCCCCATTCCTTGTCAAATGATAAGGACATAATTTAAACTTCTTTCTCACATACACAAAGAGTGCATAGTTTGCACAACATTAATTGAAAGTGAAATTGTTCAGGTAAGAKGTGACGAGTTTAGTGAATCTAACCTGAATGGTAAAGAATCGYCTTCTTCCCTTGCAAGGAGCCATAATTTCTGGGAACACTGTGCTGCTTTCCATGATATTTGATACATGAGTGACAATTGGCTGAGGTTTTTCAAATAAATCTCTGAAATAAATATAACACAACAGCATTACTACACCAAGTAAATCTGGACTTAAAATATCATGATTGTCCATGTATTATTAAGTCCTAGTTTGTTGTTAACTACTGTTGGTCAAGCAACATTAAATAGAGGATATTACATGGGCGTGTAGAGATATGCAATTTTATCTTAGAGAATTGAAAAGATTTCTCAAGAGCGAGTGTAGCAAAGATACAAAAAGATAAAATTTGTATCTCCAAGTGATCATGTATTATTCTGTTTATCATATAACTATAAGCAACTTTTTTTACTTCCAATACATGTATATAACAGAGAAACCTTGAGTGTGWTATTTTCACTAGTAATGCTTTTTCGAAAGGAAGAAATAAAGAATTTCCAAAATAATTAATGATAAAAGTCAATATGATACCAATGTCATTTTATTATAATACAGTATAAATTTTGTGAATGTTCTAGTCATGTTAGATTTTTATCTTAGCAATTTGTTTTATTAATATTTATGAGGCACCTTTGYTAAATTTTAGAACAAGATGATACTTGAACAGGGGGCGTCGAACAGAGGATTGAGGGTTCGATTCTCGACTCGAGCATTTTCTAAACAATTATTATTTTTTTCTTTCTTTTTTAAACTTTAAAATATACTTCTTGTTCTTTTTTTACCGTGTGCAGGCAGAATGCCTGTGGCACGGTTATAAAATGCAGCGGTTTTTTTTTTCCATGTCGCAGTTTAGCAATCCCAAGGGACCCAGGATTGCAGGTTCCTAGGTTCGATTCGACTCAGCACCTCTCTCGAATTTCCACTCTAGCATATTTTCTTTCTTTCTTTCTTTTTTAWATGTTTCAAAATATACTCATTTTCTTTTTCTTTCTAAAATGCAAAGCAAACTTTCATCTTATAAATTCTCTGACAGAGGATAATGCGAATGCAATCCATGAATGCTAAATTTTTGCTGCAATCAATCAGATAAAAATATAAAAAAATGATACAAAAAGATTAATAATAATAATAATAATAGGAAATGGTTATATAGCGCACTAAACATAGTCTCAGAACAAATATATCATAAAATATATATAATAGATACATAAAAATTAGAAATTAGAAAAATAATTCACAATATTTTTAAAAGAAAATTAAAAAAAGTTATGGTGTTCTTATTTGGAAAAAAAGATGAGYCTTAASCTTGGATTTAAATGTTGCTAGAGAAGGCTGGTTCKTGACTTCTTGAGGCAGGGTGTTCCMGAGACGGGAAGCAGAATATTCAAAAYRTTGATCACCATAAGACCAGGTTMGAGGMGGTGGAATCGCCAATAAGTTCTTATAGCTGAAGAACGAAGTGGTTGAGAGGGCTTGTACTGTGTTGACAGTCCAGACAGATAGGGTGGTGACAAACCATAAAGCACCTTATATGTGAATAGTAAGGTCTTATACTGAATACGGAGATGTACAGGAAGCCATTGTATATCTTTAAGAATAGCTGATATGCTATCACATGACTTTGCACCAACTACTAGCCATGCTGCAGTATTTTGTATTCTTTGTAAGCTGTTTAGGTCGGTAGACGGAAGGCCATACAGGATGCTGTTACAATGGTCAAGCCAATAAAGGCATGGACAAGGTGTTCAAGATGATAACGAGTAAGACAATGGCGAATTCAACCTAAGTTGCATAGGGCTGCAGAAGAGGCTTTGCAAATGTTCTTAATATGTGTACAGAAATCAAGTTTGGAGTCAAAATAATATGACTCCAAGGTCACGTACTTCATTTGAGAATTTGATGAACGCGCCCCCAACATCTAACAGCAAGATGGTTGATGGTTTTTTGACAAATCTCGAAGAAAACTGTATGATCTCAGTTTTATCTGGATTTGACTGCAACTTGTTAGTCTTGTTCCAGTTAAAGATATCATTGATGCAAGCACGCAAACTTTGAAGTTCTGGCGATCTCCCATCATGGTTAACAGCGATGTAAAGTTGCGTGTCGTCAGCATAAATCATACAGTCGAGATCATGGCTTTTAACTATGTCTCTTCGATAGTAGAGATATACAGCAAGAACAACAATGGTCCAAAGATTATACACAGTTCATCTTTCAAACTGATCACGGCGCTGGTAAAAAAGGTTACTTTCTAACCTGGACACGGTATGTTCCACGAAGTTGTTCTTGTTTTAAAAAAGTAATGAAATAATTCCCCAAAAAATTAATATTGTATTATAAATAAACTAAAGAGTATCATTACCTGGAATAAAGGATATATTGATCCTCAAGAAGAGACTGATGCCTTATTTTAGAGCTGTCAGTATGAAGAAGAGGTCCCTCAGGTAAAAGACAAATTAACTCCTATATAAGAGAAACACAATGATTACCATCCTTCACTCAGATTGATTGCTCTACATTTGCATTTTGGTTGTTTAAATATTAAATATTTGCAATAAATATTGAAAGACTAAAGTACATAATTATATATACTAGACAACAATGCGACACACTTAACACATTTAAGACATGTAAACTGCAAAACTATGTCTATTTTTAATTTTTTTAAGATTCTTCTGTGTGGATAGCTTATTGTTAAAACCAAGCTTTTGGTCTTGAGAAGAGGCCAAATGTTTATCAAGGCTGTAAGTAMATGAGATGACAATACCCATCTWAGGGCAGAGCGCTTGAGAAATCTTRCTAACAATAAACAGTGTGCATACTTATTACAATGAATAGGCTACATTACAAGGTGATAATGCAAAATAATCAAACTTAAGCAACTGAACATAACTATCGAGTAGAGTTCAGATATCATTGTCCCCTATTTGACAAAACAGTGTTGTTCTAATTATTTTCATCTTTAGCTATAAGTACAGCTCCTAACCATTTTCTTTCATTGGTGCCATTGTGATTCTTTCTTTAATATGCAAGTGCCATCCCAGTCTAAATTATGATTAAGTCTATTCGCATGTTCTGATAAAGCAGACTTGACAGAGTTACCCAGCCTTATGCCGTGTCATGAGACTCATCAGGCTAAGTTGTTGGCAGTTAGAGTTTGATATACAGTGTACATGTATATTTGCATGTTTTCTTCTACAGCTTTTTTTTATGCCTTATTATGTCCTCATTACAATCAAACATATATGTTGTAGTTCAGGTTCAATATATTTTTGAACCAGTTTAATCTAATTTGTTCCAGTACAAGACTTCTTGTACTGGTCTTTTTTTTTTTGCTTTGGCATTCTTAATAAAAGAACTAAAAAGAGCTATATCCCATCTCATTCTCTCCCATTTTCTATCTATCATGATGATCTTATTTTCTACCTTCTACTATTTCCTACTTTATCTTACCCTTTACCCCACAGAAATTGAGA